CATACAACCAGTATTATTTTTAACATTATAGGCAAGTCACAGCACTCTCTACACAGCACTCTCCATACTGACTAGACTAGATATAATTAGAAGTATATGAAAGCATAATTTGCAAAAAACAAACAAACATGCAAGTGGCTAAGGATATTTTAAAAGTCTGTGAATGACTGAATGAAACCTGCAAAGCTTTTTAAAGGGGTCATATGATGCGATTTCAATTTTTCCTTTCTCTTTGGAGTGTTACAAGCTCTTGGTGCATAAAGAAGATCTGTAAAGTTGCAAAGACTAAAGTCTCAAATCCAAAGAGATATTCTTTATAAAAGTTAAGAGTCAACCACGCCTACCTAAAACAGCTCATTCTAACACGCCCCCAACATGTCTACGTCACGATGTGGGAAGTTTTGCATAACGCCGCCCAAATGTTCACGCAAAGTACGAAGGTGTAACTTTTATTCTTGCTGTTGCCGCCGCCGCCGTGTTGTGGGTAAGTAGGTTTTTTATATTTAAATAATTTGCGAGTTTTGAGCAGTGTAGAGTATTCTTGTTGTTTGTTGTTTCTCCGATCACAAATGCAGATACGCACTAATCCACAAATTACTTAAGTTATTCGGTTTATAAATGTGCCTGACACTCCCTCTGATGAGAAATAAACCAATATCCCGAGTTATTCAGTTACTCCTAACAGTACATTGACTGAACTGCTAAAAGAGAACCGATGATGGGATGTGCTCGAGCAGAGCAGCTGGACTGATTCTCGTCCTGCTGGGAGACGGCATCACAGTATGTTAAGGGGCGTAACATTTCCATCACACGCTTGAGGCATTCGGCCAATCACAACGCACTGGATAGCTGGCCAATCAGAGCACACCTCACTTTTTTAGAACGATGAGCTTTGTAAAAATCGATGCGTTTCAGAAAGGCGGGGCATAGAGGAGAAACAATAATGTACATTATATGGAAAATAATGTGTTTTTTGAACCTTAAACCACATAAACATTGCATTACACCAAATACACCAAATAATGTTCTTTAATCTTTTTAGCAACGTCATATGACCCCTTTAAGTCTTTATGTGGGCCTAGTAATGAAAAAGTCTAGTTCTTACTTCTTTGGGAATGACATGTTGGTCCACCTTCCCCTCCACCTCCTGTAATCTGGCAGCCATTGGCGTCAGTTTGGCTGTGCGGACCGTTTCATTCAGCACCTGCTGGCAGTATCTGGAGGAAAACGTGAACCAGAATCATGATTTCCAGACAAAGTGATGGCCATGTGGAATAAAGTTTAACTCAAGGTATTTTATTGAAATCACAGAATTGCCACACATATGCCCTCTGGTGGCCAGAATGTACAGAGAAAAGAAAAACCCAGGAGCATATACATATAAAAAACAAGTATACTGCAAACCCATATCTCTGGAACAAACCAGCTCTTTTTTTGGAGCTTTAAAATGTTACTATTATACTATAAGTACTATTAATTCCTTCATGTTTAAACCTTTTTCACATAAGGGTCGCTTGATTTAGCATCTTGTAAATCAATAAATGTGAATACCATATGGATAATATTGACAGAATCATATCAGAAGCTATGACTGTTGCTCACCTAAGTTGTGGAATCTTCTCCAAGGTAACAGGCTCCTCTCCAAGCACTTCAACAAGCTCATGATAGAGCCGTTCCTGCACTGCTTCTGAGACTGATAGGAAGTGAACTGCCCAGATGCACACTGGGAAATAATACAGATGAGAACAGGCATAAATTATGTATAAGAATAACAGGAATACAGACATGAAGGTAAAAAAGCAAAGCTCCACAGTGTTATCATTAACTAAAACTATAAAAAAAAAATGTTGTTAATTGAAGCTTAAATAAAATAAAACGTAAATATTATATTAAATACGTAAATTAAATGAAATTTAGAAAAGTTTAAGTTGAAGCTCTAAAGTTAATAACTGAAAACAATATTAATAAATAAATTACACCTAAATAGTAATAAACAAAACACATAAATTACTTAATATTAAACTAAAACTAAATTATAAATATAAAAATAAAAGCTAATGTTAAAATGTCAATAAAAACTATAATACTATACAATACTAAAATAACACTGAAGCTACATCAAACAACTAGAAAGGAGAAATGGAAACTTACAGTTAGCAGTGATCACACAGCCAGCTAGAGTAAAAACCATACCATCTTCCATCACCTGAGGACAAAAAAAAAAGCAGCAAAACATATTTAATAACTGTTTGTTTATAATTTATGCATAAATCTTAGTATCTCAATTTGAAAATGAACCATACTGTGTTGAGATGATGTTACCTGTCGCTCTGTCAGATTGGCTTGTAGTAAATAGTTAACGAAAGATGACTGACTGGATCCTTGTCCACTGCTCTGCTTTGCCACAGACTTCAGCACCGACTCCATCTCAGCCAGAGCTGAAAATAACAAAACCACATGATCAATTGACATTGAACAATAAGGCCAACACTTTCAAACGCTGCTCAGCTGCCTTCTTACCGCTCTCATAATGAGTCTTTCTGCTGGAACTCTTCTCTAGGGATCCATCCAGATAACCTTTACCAATCTCTGACCAGATCTAATCAAATCCAGATATATATGCATTTTCATGTAAAATACCAAATTTTGTATTAATAATAATAATTTTCATAAGCATGACATTAAATATACCTAGAGAGGAATGCTCACCGCTTCATGGTTCTTACGGAACCGGATGACCTCAGCATCATCCCGAAAACGACTCCCCATGGCAAGCTGAGTGACAGCCTTCATAGCCAATCCAAGCAGATGAGCACAAAGAGGCGTGTGCTGTGATTTAGGATAAGATGCCCACTTATCAACCAGCTCCTCCACCAGCTAAAACAAAGGCAGAGTAGTAAGAGAGGGATAACATGTTTAAAAATAGGGACTGTTCAGTATATTCAGTACTGTTGATTATATGAACAAAAACAAATCACCTATGGTTTACTATCAAAAAGAATTCAAGAACTTTAGTTTAAGGCAGATATCACTGGGTTAGTCAAATTAACGCAATGAAGAGAACAACTTTGTTGTTGTTGTTAGGCCTAATAGTGAAATCCTGAACTAGGGATATATCTAAAAACTCGTGAACAGACCTGAAGCAATAGAGGGAAGTTGTTCTCCAGGGTTTTATTGATAGCTCCCTCATACACTTTTTTTCTTATCATCGACTCCGTCACTCCCGCTCCTGAACCTGACTGGTAACCTAGCAATGACTTGAGCATTGTCTCAAAGGAATCCGCTGAGGAAAGGGTACAAACATATGTGTTCGAAAAATCATGCATAATAATATGCATAAAAAATGCCAAAACATTTTTTATGGCAATAAATAAGATACTTTATACACTACCATCCAAATGTTTGGGTAAGAAAGTTTTTTTTTTTTTTTTAAATGATCAAAAGTAACAGTAATGACATGTATGTTACAAAAAAGGTTTCTGTTTCCAGAAAAATATTCAACATTTCTGAAGAGACTTGTGACAGAGACCGAAGAAATGACTGCTGAAAATTCAGCTTTGCCTTCACAGGAAAACATTTCTTTTTTAAATATATTAAAACAGAAAAGAGTTGTTTTAAACTGAAAAAAAAAATAATATTTCACTCTATTACTCTTTTTACTGTTTTAGTGAGCAAATAAATGCAGCCTGGGTGAGAAAAGACACTTCTTTCAAAAATCTTACTGACCCCACACCTTTTGAAAGGTAGTGTATCATGAGTCAAATAAATAACAAATGAATCATAATATCATATGTAATTTTATGATAAAATATTAACATGTAATTTCTCAAGAGGAGCTTTGTCAAAACACGTATTCTCTCCCTTGGTGCAGGCCACTCACTCGTCCAGTTGGGGTTGATGTGTTGTCGTAGTCGGTCCACAGCACCAAGGCTGACCACTGGTCTCCGACCGAACCAGAAAGATGCCACAGACCCAAACTCATCATGAAGACCCACCAGGAACTCATGCAGGCTTCCTTTGTTCACTATATCTGGCAGATTCCCATCTCTGGAAAAGTAAAGCAAGACGTTTGTTGGAGAAACTGACTAAAGGTCGAAAGGAAATAAAGAGAGGACAGTATCTCAAACTCTTACTTCTCTTCTGTGGGGTTTAGTCCTGGCACACCAGAGGCACTTCTAGATGACTGACATTAAAATAAAAAAAACGTCGGGTTAATATACACATATTTGAAATATTAAAGTCCCTTGACAGCAAATTATAGCAGTTTTAATGGCTGGCTTTCTTTTACGTATATTCAACGTTTAATCAAGACAGAAAATGCATTCTCAAAAATAAGAAAACTCCATAGTCCAGTGATGACCTTCTAAATGCAGCAGGTCAGAATTTAAACCAAACATATTTAATGGCGATTCAAACATATACTTCATATAAAACATGATCACAACAACTACAAAACAGTTCAGATAATATTTAGATTTTTCACCGGATACAAATACAGGACGGCACCGATCAGGATAATGACAAATGTCACTGCAAATATAGCAAAATCCAGCATATTTGCTTTTCAGAAACGTCTGAGGATCGTCATAAATGTAATTAAACCGTTCACTGAACTAGTAGCTAACAATCCACGTCTACAGTGACCATCAGAGACCTGCGCCCCTGTACATCGGTACTCAACTACACATCCTGTGAACGAGGCTAAACCAATCCATCGCAGAAAATTGTTGTTTAGGGATATTTATTTGAAGTCTGTAGTACAGCCTGGATATTTTTTTAACCAACACATCTTCCATGATTTTTTGTACCCACATATACCTGATAAGGTTAATATAAGTATATAAATCTTTATTGTCCGTCTTTTATTACATATATTTTTGCAATATTTGTTTATTTTAATTATAAATAACGTTAGTCGTTTTTTTACCACATTATGAGTTTGTTTATAATCAAGGGGGCGGAGCTAAAGATAATTAGGCTCGTTATGAACTATTTAAATGTGACACACAGGAAAAAGTAGCTACTTAGCGAAAGTAAGCCGCAAAATGTCAGTAATTACAGCATTAATTGCGTTTACGCTTAGTGTATATTCAAGCAATGCTCGGGATCCGCAGTCTCCCTGGCAGATGCCGCAGTATCAGGCCGGTGGTTTATCATTCTCACCGGTTCTGAAGGAGTTTCCCCAGCAGCAGAGGGTTCCGTTTTCGCCGGAGTTGAGTCTGTTGAGCTCGTCTTTCTCCGGCTCTCAGCGCTGTGTGCTGGAGCAGTATGAGCGCATCGAGTGTGGAGAGCCTGGCATCACTTCAGATGAATGTGAGCTTATCAGCTGCTGTTATGATGCGCAGGGCTGTTACTATGCCAAGGCAGGTGAGCGTGAAAAATTTATCCTATTTAGGCTAGTACTTTTAATCTCTCCCAATATGTATGAAAGAAGTTTCTCGTGCTGTAAAAACTGTAGAAATATTATTACAAATAAACTAAATTTATTTATTTATGGCAAAGCTGATTTTTTTGTTTCTTTAGCAGCCAGTCTTCAGTATGACATTATCCTTCAGAAATCATAGTAATATGCTCTATTTGGTGCTCAGTTAACATTTCTTGTTATTATCAATGTTGAAAACAGTTGCTGCCTAATATTTCGTGGGAACTGTGATGCACTACCATTTAAGCTTGGAGTAATATATATATATATATATAAGAAAATAATGCATCATGGTTTCCACAAAAATGCTGAGCAGCAAAAATTATTTTCAATATTAATAATAAGAATCGTTATTAGTAACTGACCACCAATAATACTCGATGATAATTGCAGCAAATCAGCATATTAGAATGATTTCTGAAGGATCATGTGACACTGAAGAGTGGAGTAACGATGCTGAAAATTCAGCTTTGCATCGCAGGAATAAATGACATTTTAAAATGTATTAAAGTTTAGTATTATTTCACAATATTACTGTTTTAGTGTATTTTTGATCAAATAAATGCAGCACTGATGAGCATCTTTCAGATGATTTCTTTGCGATTTCTTTCAAAAACTGTTAGGAATCACAATTATTCCAAACTAGTGTATTTTCATACTACTGGTGTTGTGTGGAAACAAAAATTCATTTGACATCTATGGCAGTCGTTAGGCCATTTTCTTTAAATAAATATTATATTTTATATTATATAAACCATCTACACTGGTTTAATCATGGTTATGAGCTGTCATCCATTTATATTCTGCTGATTACTATAGGTTTACTCCAAGTACCACAGTAAAACTTTAGTTACTATTCAGTAAATGAATAATTTAAGCACTGCAACTGTATAATGCCTCCATTATTGTGTGCAAAACATTACATTGGTCTTTTTTTTTTTTTCCTGTTTCTTCCAGTCACTCTGCAGTGCACGAGAGATGGGCAGTTTGTATTGGTGGTTGCTCGAGATGCCACCATGCCGCACATCAGTTTAGACTCCATCCACATGCTGGAGAATGACCCCAGTGACCTCTGCGCTCCTGTCGGCAGCACTGCCAGCTTTGCCATCTATCAGTTTACTGTCAGCTCCTGTGGCACCAGAATGAAGGTGGGTATGAATGGTGGGAGAGCCTTGGAGAGTTTTAGTTTACCCTATGGTCACTATTATTTGTCCTCCATTATATCCTTCAGGAAGAAAGTGGTTTTGTTATTTATGAGAACATGATGTCTTCCGCGTATGAAGTGGGCGTTGGACCTCGTGGATCAATTACAAGAGACAGTTCTTATGAGTGAGGAGTCTGTTTTTATGTTGATGTTTTTGGTATGATCAGTGGAAGGGGGCCCAATATTTCCTGTCTGTGTCTTGAAGGCTGAAGTTCCAGTGCAGGTATTCGGGATCAGCTGTAGAGGCTCTGGTGGTGGAGGTGAATACAGTTCCTCCTCCTCCCCCTGTCTCTCAGAACGGTCCACTCCGAGTGGAGCTCAGGCTCGCCGATGGACAGTGCAGCACTAAAGGATGCTCTGATGGTGAGCAGAAGGCCTCTTCATTGTCATTATTTAAATCGTCTCTTAAAACGCATCTTTTTTCCTTGGCCTTTGACACCTGATGTTGATATTTGGTTATTTATTTTAGTTTTTCTATGGTCTCTTAATGTGTTTTAGTTGTATTTTATGTCTTGTAGGAATTTTTGTTTTTCTGTACAGCACTTTGGTCCACTTTGGTGTTTTTAAATTGCCTTTATAAATAAAGATTGATTGATTGATTGAAATGTGGCTTACCTAGTAAACTGGATGAGTTTTATTATTTCATTTAAGCACGTTTTGCCAAGTCATCCTGAAATGTTCCTGGTCAAACAAGAACAAGTCCCAAAAAATCTAGAATTTTGACTGTTCTTCAGGACCCAAAACGTTACAGAAACTTGGTACAAAAGTAACAGTAATTTCTAAATACACTATCATTCATAAGAATGAGGTTGGTGAGATATGTTTTTGAAACAAGTCTTTTATGCACACCAAGGCTGCATTCATTTCATCAAAAAATGAAGCAGAATATTAGTAGTAATATTATTACAATTTAAAATAACTATTTCTGTTTTAATGTATTAAAATATAATTTATTCCTGTGATGTCAAAGCTGAATTTTCAGCATCATTACTTCAGTCTTCACTGTCACATGGTCCTTCAGAAATCATGTTGCTCCGGAAACATTTATTATTATTATTAATGTTGAAATATGGGGTACTGTAAAACTACCTTGAATACCGCTAATATGGAATGCGTTCATTACCAGGTCAAAGACTATCACTGTACAATGCGACGCAGTTAATTAATTCAATATTCTCTTTGTGTATTTAAGAGGATATGTACACCTCGTACTACTCGGAGGCAGACTACCCTGTTACTAAGGTTTTGAGAGAACCAGTGTATGTGGAGGTGCGGATTCTGGAGAGGACTGATCCAAATCTCATCCTGGTCCTGGACCACTGCTGGACCACTTCAAATCCTGAATCCCTGAGCCTGCCTCAGTGGGACCTTGTGATAAATGGGTAAACCTGCTCCACTTCTCTAATTTATCTAAGGAAACGTGGGCATTTAGTGTCAGTGTGTTAACTTGATGCCAAAACAACTGAAAATGCCTCAATTATACAATGGCTTACATGTTCCATTGTCTTATTACTCTTCATAGCTGTCCATATAAGGAAGACCATCACCTGACCACAGTGCTTCCCGTTGCACAGTCAGGACTGCAGTACCCATCTCATTACAAACGCTTCGTTGTGAAGATGTTCACCTTTGTAGATCAGTCCTCACTTGCACCTCAGCAGGAAAGGGTATGTACTGTCTTGCCCACCACATGTTCTCCTTGGCTCTCATTATCTTATTGTCCTCTGCCACGTCTTTAACAGATTTTCGTTCACTGCACTACGTCTGTTTGCCACCCCTCCACCACTGAGTCATGTGAGCCCAGCTGTGGCAGCAGGACAAGTGAGTGCACCATAGAAATTTCTAGATGTTGTGGTTAATAATAATAATAATTAGTAATAATAACAAATATTTATTAATGATAGCAAATATTTATTATTATTATTATTATTATTATTATTAATTGAACATATTGGTTGTGTATTAATGTTAATATTTAGCTATTTTAATAAAAATGCATACATTTTCAATCATTTAATTATAATAATGTAACCCTTAAGAATAAAATTAATTAATTTTAAATAATTATTAACAATAATATTTAACTGCTAAATTATTAAACAATTATTTTAAATACTTTAACATGACATAATGACGTTATTATTATTATTATTATTATTATTATTAAGAAATATGTACTGGTAGTAGTAATAAAATAATATAAATTATAGTAATTATTAACAAATGTATTATTAATAGTTGTTGTGGTAGTAGTTGTTGTTGTTGTTATTATTATGAAGAAATATGTAATAGTAGTAATAAAATATAAATAATAAAAATGATGGTAATTATTAACAAATGTTATTAGTAGTAGTAGTAGTAGTAGTGATTATTATTATTAATAATATTTATTAATACATTGGTTGTTGTGTATAAATATTATTTTTAATAATAATAATATTATTATTATTATTATTATTAAGATTATTTAAATAACCCACGAATGTAATTATAATTTCACATTTAATTGATAACAAG